TAAAAACTGGGATAATTATTTAATGAGGATGCCACAAAGGACAAACAAAAAAAGGACCGTAACGAAGTGCAATACATTTCGCAGGACTGCTATTAACGTCAGCTGAATGAGTTTCGGGGGAGTCAAAATAAAAATATTTTGATTTAAAATTGAAAAATTGTCGGTTTTAGGATACAGTAAGGGTCATTTTTTCAAGTGACTTTTAAAATTTATCTGCACTTGAGAAAACGACCCTTAGTCGCCTAAATGAAAAGATCTTCGCTTTTGGTAAATATTTTACATATTTCGGAATAATATTTAAGAGGGTTGCCACCTGCTCAAAAAGTTAAAGTCAATTTAATAAACAAGTTAAATGAAATATTTGTATACAGGTACCAACGATAGCAGGTTAAGAACGCTTATTTTGTAAACATTTTTGAAGAGGATTGCCACCTGCTCGGCAGTTCAAAATCGTGTTGATTAACGAGCTAAATTACATTTTGTATAATGGGTATAATTAAGGGGTCAAATAAAATATTACTTATTTCACTTATTTCGAAATTAGTTTTAACAGCGTTGCCACCTGTTCGCAAACTCTAAATCAATTTGATAATTAATGTAATATGAATGTTAATCGAGAGAGGTTTAAGCAAGATTTACTTTTGGAATATTTTTGAAGATGGTTGCCACCTTTTTAGAAATTAAAAATTAGTTTAATTGCCATGTCTTTAAGAAGTCAATGCACCAATTTGTTTAACAAGTGAGTTGAAATATTTCTAAATGGGTGTGAAGAAATTTCCACACCATTTGCTCTGATTTTTCTTAACAGAATCGTATGACTGTTTTTCAGTTCGAAAGGTGTTTTAAGGCGTTTTTTTAATTTTTTCATTAAAAAGTAAATTTAAATACAAATTAAACATTTATAAAAATTTAAATTTTACTGCTTATGACTGTATAGAAAACTTAATATTGCATACTTGTTAAAAGAAGCAAAACAAATTCTCTATTGCATTTGCAAGTATTTTAATACAGCAATGTACTCACTGGTAAAGATCAAAAAGTACACCAAATTATATAAACACTCAGTAAAATTAGTGTCAATAAGCTGATAAATAGTTTTCTAATGAGCTACTCCCTACTAAGTAAATTTGGCATTGGCAGCGTTTTCTTAAGCAGCGGGAGCGCAAACGTTGTCCAAGGTTTGCAAGCATTTGGCATACATTAAGGCGCGCCCCGCAAAACTAATATACATTACTTGCACGAATACCAAGTTTAGTTTCTCATCACGTCGGCTTGTGTGTGCGTATGCGTGCTGCATGCATGTTTACATGTGTGCGAACTGCAAATGACAAACATTAACAACGCACTAAACCAGCAGCTGTTGCGCGCTATTGATGAAGATCACAACCAAGATGAAGTGAAGCGCATGCAAAGCAAAAGATGGAGAGAGAGTAGTCAATAGAACCTGAACGATTGAATGAACAGCCACGACTGCGTGTGTGTGGCACAAACAAATTTGCCTACAACGCTAACCTTTCAAGCAATCAAATTCTAATCAACACGCAAATGGCATAAATGGTATGCAAGCTTTAAGCCTGACTAACCGCTGTGCGCATATTTAGAAGGAAGTGGGGGTGGGTAGAATAGTTTGTTGTTGATGGAAGATTTGTCAGCAAGCGATTTAGGGCAACAGACACCAGGCAGCAAGTGGCCAATCAACGCGCCAACAACAGCTGGCGCGAATATTTACCATAGCGATGAGTTGCAAACACATCGTTAGGCAAATTATCTGAAATCATGGTAATGGGTTGAGTTTGAGTTGCTGGTTGCGAGGATGCTAAGCGAAACAGGTAAACCAAGCGGATGTGTTAAACTGTGGAAAAATAGAAATCGATTAGGCTGTGGCTGTGGATAGTGGTATCAAGCGAGGTTGCTGTTGATGTGATGGTGTTTAAGCTGCAAAGTTGATGCTGTCGTTGGAGGAGAGTGCATAGTTTTTAAGTCAGCTTTGTGGCCTTGCTTTCAGTTCGGTTTGCACTGCTGTAGTTGTGATTTTGTTGTTTTGCTTTATCTTCCAAAAGCTTATGTATTGAAGTTGCTCCTTAATTTTTGCAGCCGTGCTCCATTTTATTGTGTAAAAGCTACTATGATTAGCTATGCTGCCAAATCGCTGGCTGACAGCTGTAAAGAGGATGTATACATCAGCGGATGCATCTGCTTCTTGTCAAGAGCAGTGCAATTTCCTTGAGTTGGCGTTGTGTTGGCAACACAAATTTATATACTCTACCGGCTTCTGTACATTGCCGGTCGGCGATATATTATGCTAGTAATTTGGCTTTCATAAACTCACAAGACGAGTGAAAAAAAAAACTGGTGAACCCGCATGGCGTTAAAACGCCCAAAATTTTATTTCAAAACGAAAAAAAATTCACAGAACCATATTTTATCTAAAACCGTGCAGCGTCTCGCATAGTGCAGGTTTTCAATTTCATCAGATTTCAAATCACCCTATACGGGTAAAAAAGTTCTTAATTAAAAAATAAATAAAACTTCATCGCAATTCTACAGGCTAAGAGAGTCTTTGATAATTAATGCTACTTATTTAATAATTTGAATGTAACTTTTTAAACACGTGGAAACCATTTTCAAACCATACAAATGATCAAACTAAAGATTTCTTTACATTCTTTCGTTTGACTCCCGCATTTTTATATTTCATATAATTTTTGTATTAGTTATTTAAGTTAGATCTTTCAAACAGGCGGCAGCCCTCTTCAAAAGAATTTTCAAGCTAAACCCTTATTTACTCTCCTTTGTCTGACATTGCAATAGATACTTTCATTAACTGATGACTTAAATTAAATTTGAATTTTTAAACATGTGGCAACCGCGCCAAATATATCGCTAAAATATAAAGATTTTCAAACCCCCCTTCGATTGATACTGATACCCATCTTTTAATAATTCATTTTTCTTATTAAATAATTTGAATTTAATCTTTGAAGCAGGTGGCAACCCTTTCCCAGCACCTCAAAAATATTCTGTATGTTAAAACTAAAGATTTCTTAACACTCTTTCGTTTGATATCCATATTTTGATATTTCATATAACTTTTGTATAAGTTAACTAAATTCGACATTTCCAGCTGGTGGCAACCCTCTTCAAAATATTTTCAAACTACTACTTTCTGAAACTCATTTTGTTTGGCACCCATATGGTGATATATATTTCTCTTACCTAATATGATTTTCTAAACAGGTGGCAACTCTGCTATAGTTCAGCTAAGAAACAAAGCTTTTCAAAATCATTTCGAATGATACCCATGTAATAATTGATTTATTTTTTTATATAATTTGAATATCATTTTTTAAAGGGGGCAACTATTAACAAAAAAGTAAAACCCTTTTGCACATACAATCCAAGCCTTTTAACTTGACACCTTATTCCGGAAGATCGAACGAATGGTGCGGACATGATGACATTAATTATTAAATAATTTGAGTTTGATTGAGGTGGCAACTCTTTTTTAAAAACTAAAACCAGTTTGCACATCTACATACCAAACGCTTTAATTTGACATCTCATTTTTGAAAATCAAGCGAACGATAGAGATCTTTTGTTCTGGACAAAAAATTCCTTCGCGCATTATGTATATATCTAGATGAGAAGAAAAATAAAAAATCATAAATGCATGCAATACCTTTCTAGAGGCCTAACACTTTCTGGGGCATGTAATATATGTTAAAAGTCAGCTCAAGTTAAATTGTTCACTCAGAGGCAGTACTGGCCCGGTATTATTTCCCGAATAGGATTTCCCCAAACATGTCTTTAAACCATATTGAATTTCTGGCATATCGTAGTTTTCCGGAGTACGGGAAAGTTGCTTAGAGAGTGCTGGATGAATTATGTATATTTTTTCCGTGACATTATTCCGTTAATATTCCGGTCTTTTGTTAGTTGACCACTGGCACTCTGTGGCGATAGAGCTTACGTGTGCACATAAAATGCTTCACCTGCTGTTGGTAGCTGCTCTAAACATCTGAACTCGTTAAGACAAGAATCGCTAGGTAGGTTGTATACTTAAAACTACAAATAGCTCCTTTCTTATTTCACAAAACTTAGCAGATATGGATTAAATGTACACTGTCGAATGGATTATAAGCGTATAAATTCACAACAAGCTTTACAGGTGTTTCGGCTTTCGGGGCTCAAACCGTAATATAAAACTTGTAGATTAATAAAGCGCTGAAAGCCTGAAAAAGCTAAATGCTTGGAAATGTTGTTGTGTTTTTCTCGAGTTTTCAAAGTATAATGTCGCATACCGGTAATTTTTGCAGAAAACAATATATAGTAGAAAATGATATAGTAAACCGATATATATGTATATCATCAGCGAAATCTAAAATCGATAAATATATAGATATGCATGCGTCGACAACTTTATAGAGATCGTTATGAAGCTATACAAAATATCGATGATCTTGTCGATAAATCCAGAGCAAAGTCGATAAACGTACTATAACTTTAAGCTTAAAAACACATAAAACACACAAAATATTGTTTCGACTACTGCACAGCGATCGTTATAGATTTATGGAAAAAACTATCGATAAGGATGTCGATAAATTCAATGATAACTAAACCGATTAATATATCGATAACTTTTAATTAAAAAAGCATAAAATATACACTTTTTACACAAAACAATAAGTCATTCGCACTTCTTTAAAATCTTGTGCCAAATCACTTCAATCACAAATACCACAAACGCTATCAAATAACCGGCGATCAGTAAAATTGCTGGCATTTCAAAATCGGACAAGTTAAGTGCCACTGCTTCGTGCCATTCCGTCTTGAAGAGTGTTAAGAATCCCGCTTTGACTGCATCCTCGATGGTTACCTGCATGAAGTAATGATGAAATCCGAATTCGAATAACTGCTGTACATGACGATGGAAAATCTTCTCAAATGGCCAATAATGAGGCAACGGCATACCGCTGAGATGCGTAGTAAGCGGCTTCTCCAGCAACTTTAAACGTGGACGCAACAAAAATTTTTGTTGATAAAACAAAAGTTGCCATATATCGAACACATTTATATAAGCATAGCTGGGATCAAGCTGATCACGGTGTAGCTTCACTACGCCATTTGGGAGATATTTAACATGCGACATCAATTCTGGATACTCTAGATATTTGTCCACTATACTTTGGTAGGCGTAGACAGAGAGTATGCTGATATTGTTGGCTATGAGTTGCTCTACTGTATTTATTGGACACTCATAGAGATCCGTGCTGAGCAGACTGGAGAGAAAAGCCAAGTAATATTCAGCTACGATGAACCCAACAATGGTGAGTAGTATGAAAATGAATTTGCCGCGATGCGACTCAAATAGATTTGGATGAACAGTAGATAGAATAAAGCTGCTAATTACATCTAGAAGATATTGCCCAACATTCCAATAACCATGTTCGCGCCAATTAATCAAAGCCAATAGCAGCGTAACGTAAGCGATAGCAGCGACAAGCACACACCAGGTAGAAGCTTGAAATGGCGACAAGAAGTAACGAAATTTTGCTAACGGCTGCGGAAAACGCACTGCAAAATAGGCGGTCACTAAGTAAAGCGGTTTGCTATGCGGCTTACCATAAGTACTGTAGTAGCCATTATCGGCGCAAATGTCATATACACCAGCGAGCACCTCCGGTATACACTGCATGAAATCATAGTTAGGATTTGGATGAACGGTAAAGTGTAGCGTTGCGTTATAGCGCTCAGCAAAGAGCTTAATTATAAGCGGTAACAAACCGGAAATACGCTGCATGCCACGTGCGTCCTTGTAGACTAGAGCGCGCGGCGGTTGGGTACCCAAAATTACGCGTATGCTATAGCCATGGAAATTCGACCAGCTATCGCGCTTGGCTAAGTAGGCGCTTAGTGATGTATGCCGCAAGCGGACAGTCGGAAATGGTGCGTATGTAAGTAGTTCATTAGCTTGGGCATCGGTGAGTAGCACGTTGTAGAAGCCATTGCGCCAGCACCAAGCGAAAAGTGAGTACGCTGTTGGCGCTGATAGCGACGACGAAACATTGTTGCCAATTTTCATTGCCAAAAATAGTACATCACGGCTGTGCCATAGCTGCATGGCAAATTTGAAGTTATTTAATTGCTCTTCAAGCGGCGCTGAGTTGAGTTGTACCACGCTTAGTATAGTTGAGTAGAAGTGTTCATGTAACGGTGCGCTAGGTTGATGGGTGAGCGAAATTTGTGCGATGCGATGTTGCCAAATTTCACTTAGCTCAATACTGGCATTGCCATTGAAGTTGTAGTAGAGGCAAGTGTTGGCACCGATACCTACTATGAGTGTCTCGATTAGTGCTTTCAATTCGTTGGCGCACATTTTTAGTACTAAAGTGAATAATATTAAATAACCAAGTAAAAGCGAGTTTATACGCATTTTGCTGCGTATTCAAAATCCGCTTACAAGCAAGTGACGACTCTTGAACATATTTTGGTATTTAAATAAGTTTGTTGCTTGAAGTCCCTTGGCGGTAATTTGTGTACAATCGAATTTCTAATAGCTGATTGAGCTATGCGACTGCTCTAAGCAAACATAATTTTCCATAATTTACGAAAATAATTTTATCCTATTTTTTGTCTGATTAATAATGCATTAAAAACAATTACAACGAAAGTGAAAGTTTTGCTAAGAATAAATACTAGAACATATAAAATACATTTCTACACCTTCAACCATTTGCGTTAATCAACTATGATTCGGATTTTTTTCATTACACTTTTCCTTCTAATTTGTTTGCACTGTACAAATATATTTAGAGCTTTAATAATATATCTCTTTAATCAGTACATATGTATATATTCCTACATCCAAGAGCTGGGTTTGCTTATACCCTCAATTCTACGCTCATTGTCTTCGCACGACGACTAATTCTCTCCTCTACCCACGTTGAAAAAAAAACACTGTCAACATACCTACAGCGTTTATGAATAATTTTACACCTCACTGTAAGAAGTAAAAAAAAAGATATGCATTCATATTTATATGCGAAAGCTGATAATGCCAGCATTTTAATCCTATTTCAACACTTGGCAGCACACAAAAGCGCCATGCACAATTACTTCGACTCACGCCCGCACCTACGCACGCATGCAGAAACTATGTAATACTTTGCAGACAGACAGACGGAGCGACAGAAAAATACATAAATCCACTAGCAGACAATAAGAACGCGCTAGGAGCAATAATGTTGCACTGATCGGCGGTGGGCAACGATGTCTAAAACGTGGAAGTGAAATGCGCCAGGATAAACACTCAGCGGGTGTTAAGCGCAGATTTTCATTTCAATTCGCGTTGCTTTGACTTTGGGAAAGCGCAGCACTCGACGACATTTTTGATATAGATACATATATATTCTGCATTGAAGGGCCAAATGGAATTTAAAACTTGACTGCAAAGTTTTGAAGAAAATATTCTTAAAGAAGATATGCAAAATCTTTCAGATTACGATTTTTCAATGTAAGGCACGAGTGTCATGTGTCTAGTAATCAACTCTCTTTTGCACTGAATTACCAAATTTTACGCCCGAATATGTAGCATACAATTAGGTTGACTAGGAAACATCCTTGGTTTGCAGAGGTTAGGCTAGGTAGATGGATAGATAGTTGAATAAATCACTGCGACCATTACGTCTATTGTGCCCTCAGCTCATCACAGTACCTCAAATAGCCCTGGAGACTGCATAATTTTCAGAAATGATACCGGGAGTAGAAAGTGTATTTGGTCATATCTGGGCCAAAAATGCCCTTTGCTCTTCTCCCTCCTAGCATAAGGATTTGTAATGGAGTCTTCTTGGTAACGTCACACAAGCGACATAGTTAACTAGACTAGATTCGTAGGTTATACAAGTGCCCTCTTAACCTGCAGTGGCCTGTCAAAATATCTAAGTACTGATTACTTAGTTTCTGCTTAGGAAGGCCTATGAGTATGCTGTTTCTTTTGAGATTGTACCCCCCCAGCAAGCTTTTGGATTGAAGAAGTCACACGGTATTAAGCCAATGCAGTACCCTCAGCCTGGTGTTTTCCTGAGCGCTTCCTTTATCGTCTTGGGACCTATTGAAAGAAAGGGCTCCGGTCCTTTCGGGGTCGACGCTTCCGCAATATCTTCGACTTCTGGCATCCAGAGCAATTGGAGGGAATTATTCTCAGCCAAAGCATTGAACCTCTCTACACACTCCAGAACCACCGACCATTTGATCTCGAATGATGACACAGCCCTGAGTGCCGCCTGGCTATCGCTTAAAATCAGGATCCTCTCGTTTCGATGCTTCCTTCGAAGGTTAATTTCAGCACACAGACTGATGGAGTAGACTTCCGCCTGAAAGGTGATGGGGAGGGTTCTCAGCAACACCGTAAGCTTCAGTCTAGGGTCATAAATACCTGTTCCTATCCGCTCTGGAGTTTATAGCCTCTGTGTACCACCTGTGGTCACCTGTACGTACTTCTTAATGCACGTATTTCTTCTTCGCCGAAATTTTAGGCAACTAATCATTAAGTACCACGAGAAATAGCGAACACCTCTTGGCAAACTGGAACAGTTTCCAGTCCGTTAGAAGACCCACCAGTAGAAAATTCGCGACCTTTATGTCATATGCGCTTTACGGGCAGCAAGTGATTAGAGGTACGCACTACTATTCATTAAGTCCAGGGTTTTGGCCCTTTTCGAATAGTGGTCGCCCTCGGCAGGCAATTCCGAGTGTATTTTTGCCATGAAAATGTGCTCATAAAAATCATTTACCGTTTGTAAGCGGCGTAAAACTGTACGTCCCTCCCCTTTGTAAGGCAACATCAAGGCGCACACCCCGAATCAGAGGAGAATTTCGGCCAAGCAATAGCAAATGTGTAAGCGCCAAATATGTTTATATATTTTTGCACAAAATCCGGGATACCCTGCAACTCTGCATTTTGGTCCACGCGTTCTGCGCCTTCGGGATGATGGACAGGTCGAGTTCCCGTTCAATCAATTGTGGAGAAATCGGTACTTCTTCTATAAGCATAACCTTCGACTAAGCGTCTTATTTGGTAAGCCTATCAGACTCCTCGTGGCCCGTGAAGCCCGTGCGCCCCGAAACCCAGTACAGATGTACGTCAGTACTAGCATGTAGCAACTCCAGAGATGTTCTGAACTCCACCGTGGCATGACTGTAGATACAAAGATATAACTTTTTGTTTTTTATTTAGATCGCTGCTCAGTAGCTAGGCGGCCCTCCTTATGGCCAACTCTTCCGCTAGGATAACGCGAAAACTATTGCTGCACCTACGCCTTTCTCCATCTTCGACCCGTCTGAATAGACATTTATCTTTCGAGCACTTTTCATATCCTCAGGCCAGCTATCGAGTTAGAATTTAACACCTCAATTTTGGATGCTGAAACGAATCAGGTGCTGGCGTAGAAAGTCAGGCAGTAAGAAATCTCTTCGTCGATTACCGGAACTCTCCAGTTAAAATTGGATAAATGTAGGTTAGAACTTAATAGCATTACAGAAAATTACTATCGGCCCTCCTATTTAAGAGCACTTTTGACAGTAAGTCTTGATTACCGATAGCATATTTTGAACCCGGAATTGTGGACGTCTGCCGTATGCTTCACGAGACAAGTAAGATTTAAAGGATCACATTGAAGCAGCAGTTGATTATTAAAGCTGGCTTTTTATCTGCTGTCTTTTTATAGTTCCGAAGGGGAAAAAGAAGCCACACTGGCGGTATGAGGAAATCGCCTTCTTAAGGAAGGAGAGCAAGAAGGCAAGTATCAGTTTTGTAATGTTTTGCCAAACTGTTCACTCTCTTAGTTATATAAGGAAGCCGAGTGAACCATGACTTGGGAAAAAATACCCGGAATTTTCACTAGTACTCACTTCCCAATTTGTACCGTAGAACCGAGCACTTTGGTACGTAGTCTAGGACTCCATTTGGCAGGCGAAGCTACGAGCACAAAAGTAAGGGGAAGAAAGCTACTAGTTCCTTCAAACCCTTTAAATCTCCTGGGTTAGGTGGTGGGCAAAAGCGCAGGAGTGGCGGTGATTGGACGGGAACGAAAACAGCTCTCAAACTGTACAATAGTATAGCTTTGCCTACGTGTGCTTCTCTTTAATATTTTGAAGAGGATTGCCACCTGACTGAAAAGTCGTATTTAATTCAATTATTCGCAAGTTACATGAAATATTAAAATAAGTATGTCAAATGGTTCGCCTCGGTGGAGAGAGGATTTGAAGCTATATTTTGAAAAGGGTAGCCACCTGTTTGAAAAAAGAATTTGATTTAATTATATGCAAGTTATATGAAATATTAGAATAAATATGCCAAGCGGTTTGTCTCGGAGAAGAGAAGCAACATAGCTATATTTTAAAGAGGGGTGCCACCTATTTGAAAAGACGAATTTAATTAAATTATACACAAGTTTTACGAGTTACTTACGGTTATTTGCGGGTTCGTGTAGGTCAGGAGAAGTTTTATACCTATATTCTGAAAAGGGTTGCCACCTAAAAGTCAAATCTAATTAAATTATACGCAAGTTATATGAAATATTAAAGAATGGGTGTCAAACGAAAGAGTGTAAAGCAATACTTAGCTGGAACATTATGAATATTTTTGAGTTTTTTGCGGAGGGTTGCCACCATTAAAAAAGTTGAGTTCAAATTAATTAATAAATCAAAAAAAATATTCCAGTATGGGTGTCAATCGAAATGGTTCAGAAAAAGCTTAGTTTGAATACTGCACCCTCCTAGGGTTGCCACCTTTAAAAAGTCAAAGTCAAATTTAATTAAGGAAACTAGCTGATTGAAGCGGGCGTAGCACCTCCCATAGGCGTGTAATTTTCAATCAACTATAGCGTGTGAAAAATTTAACGCTTATAGTAATGTAGTTATACATATAAATGAGTTTGTACAAGGTGACGTGGCACATCCCATAAGCATAAAATTTTGTATCAGCCCCGAAGTACGCCAGGTACTCTGCTAAAATTTTATAAGACAATATACCAAAAATTTCCTACTTGGTTTTACATATATTTTTTTGCCTTCAAGCTAAAAACTTGAAAGCCATAAATCTGCATTTAAATATTTGTTACTCTGCAGCTGCATACGTGCAAATGCCCAGAGGTTTAAGACTGTCTGTCTGGTGTTTGGTCAAAACTTTGTGTGTAACCAAAGTAATATTTAGTGGACACTCTGGCTGATTTTTAACAATGCAAGAGCTCTGCGTACGCATAACGTATACGTGCTTTTGAATAAATAATTGTCTATGTATGAGTATTTGTGATGTTTACTCTGTTAATTCCTGTGCTAGAAAAATTTTAATAAAATGAGAAAATGAGAATTACGGTG